TCTTTTGGGGGATAAATTCTTCTTTCTGTGCCAGAACTGTGCATCTTTAAGGCATCAGTGGAAAGGATAGTTTCATGTTAGATGCTGGACCAGACCTTGAAAGATCAAATCTCAGCCCGGTCACATAACTTTGGGCAAGTCACTAAAGGACCAGATTTTCATTTAAGCACTTCCGTTAAGTGGCCTGAATTTCAAGAGTGCTTGCTTTCAATGGGAACTGCTAAGTGCCAAGCTTGATTAAAAAAAACCAAAAAGCCCAAGAAATGAGCAACTGAGGTTTTTACTTAGGTGCCTAACTGGAAGCTGAACTTTCGTTAAAAAAAAAAAATCTAACCATTAGCCTGCTTGCCTCCAGTCCCCAGCTGTAAAACAGGCATGTTAGCAGGCTTCCCCACAGGAGTGTAGCACGCAAAGATGAAAAGAAACACTTTCAGCATTTCAGCCATTGCTCTGTAGCATCACTGGTTTCCTGGGGTGAACCAGCTTCCAACAGGACTGCAACACAGAATTGTCTATTCTAAGTGGAGGTGGCAATTAAAATAAACGGGCTTGTGACAGGCTCAAATCTTCCTGCTTTTCAGGTAGCAGGAGCTCCTGCTTTCTCCTCTTAAACCCCTTTCATTTTACCAGTCTGTCTTCCAGCAATCATAGGATAATGTAGTAAAAAATATCTTCTGCAATACTAGTTGGCCTCCTGTTAAGATATGTACTGCCACACACCGGTTTATTGATTCAAGGAAATAAATCTCCACAGGAGCTAATATTGACTTTTGTTATGAAAATGGAAGTGAATAACGAACTGACTATTGATTCAAGGAAGGAATGATATAGGGCAGCCTTTTTTAAATTAAAACAGGGATAAAATTTCAGCGTAAAAAAGGAATGGCACTAAGCATCTGCTTTAGAGAGTAGTCAACTGCAGATGACAAATCTCTTACTATACAAAAAAATAGTCTGTTGTTGCCAAAGTGACTTAAAAGCACACGAGTTAGACATACATATCCTTCCCTAGGATTACTGTACAGGCTTTAATTTATGTTACCTGTTATATATAAGAACTCCACTACAGCCTGCTGGGGTTAGCCATGATTCAGCTGCTAGTCTTAACGTGAAAGGGAAGATTAGCTATCAGTGACCGGGACATACAGCACTAACACCACCGCATTTAAGGAATCTAAATGGTTTGGGTTTTTGTTTTTTAAATTAAATGCAGAGCAATTACGTGACCAATTTCCACACGTTAACTTCCACGTGTCCTTAATGCATTTAGGACCCAATGGCATAATTGTGCACTGGGGCCATGCAGTGTGGGTCACTATAAAAGTAACTGCCTAAATGCCACTGTAGACGTTTCATATGGCCTCACTGGTTTCAATAGCAAATGGACAGTTTGCAAACAATTACCAGGGCACCGACTCGTCAGAAAAAGAACTGGGTTCTCTGCTGTCCACATCGCTCCTACAGGTCCTGTATAAACCAACTATTAGCTGCTGGAGGTCTTCTGATATGTATTGATACACAACAGTAAAGGAAAATCCTGTTTGCATGTATAAGCAACTCCAACGAAGCTTGTACAAATATCTAAAATTGTGCCAAGGGGGCTGCTCTGTTTCTTAGCGGGCTTGCATGTCCTGAGCATCTGCTGGCAAGCTGGAAGGTCACTTAAAGAGTCGACAGCCAGGGTTGTCGGTGCGTGGAAAGGGCCTGGGCTCTCTTCTGGCAGCACCATGTAAACGCCACAGCACAGCTCCCCAGGTAGCTGGGAACAAGAAAGCTCCTGGTCTCCGCTGAATCCTCTTCAGTACCTGGATAAGTTATTTTGTCTGATACCGAGACATGAGAAACGACTTGCACCAGCGGAGAGAGGAGTCTTGCAGAAGTGGTTTGAGGATGAGCCTTCCAAGAGCTTCTCTGACTACGGGATGCTCAGGAGCCTGCTCACCCCCTACACCTCTGTCCTCCTCACTGGCCCGCTCTTACCAGGCCTCCTCCACATGCACTGCACCAGCTGGATGTGCAGGAGCCTCAGCCTGTGCTGGAGCCCTGCCCAGTCTCTTCCACAACTGTGACAGCGGGCCAAGGCTCCGGGACAAAACACATCCATGAGATACTTCAGCTAAAGCTGTCAGCAGTGACAACTAACAACCTGACAGCTGGCACAGGTGGTGGAAGACTGGGGATAACGGGGCTTAGCCCTCCCACAACTAATTTTGCGGCGGCCGGTGATAGCACCCCTGCTGTGCACTCCCACACCGCTGTACATACAGCATCAGCGCGCGCCGGCCCCTGCAATGGCCCTGCGGGATGAGGGGGCGGGGGTCAGGCGGGTGCACCCTGCACTGCGCAGCCCCCCCAAATAATATTTTCTCCCGCCACTTATGACAGCTGACACTAAATTTTGAAGTCCCACCCACATCATTTTGCAGGCGCAGTCTATCGCCGCATGGGTGTGCATGATGGAAACCTGCATGTAAAACCAAGTGCCGTCTCTCTGGAAAAGAAAAGAAAAGGCCTGCAGCCAGCTATTGCAAGTCTTCAGAATCAATGCCCCGTTTTATGAGCTGGCCATTTTCAAACCCTTTCTTCAGAAACTCAGGAACGCCTCCTCAGTTCTCGCTGAAAGATTTTTTTTTTTTTTTGGTGAGCAGAAGGCCTGGAATTTTTCTTTTTTAATTAAAAGTTTTTAAATGCTACAGAAGCCAAGGGGCCTTTCCTTATTAAAGAATCCAATATAATGTAATAGATAATGATAATTTGAATGGCTCTGTGTTTAGCGCTGAATAAAGAAGACCTTTCTGCTACAGAATCACATGGGATGATGAGTTTAAAAAAAAATACATAGGCAAGTTACTCATTTTCCAGTAAATTCTGGGTTTCCTCTTTACCCTGGGAGTAACTTTCCACTGGTGAAACCCTCTTCAATTTTATAGAGTAGTTCAACAAGGAACGAAGGGACACATGTGGCACTGAAGTAGAGCCCTGCAAGGCAGCGGGGTATGCTGGGGTATATATGTGGGGTGATACGTATATCTTCTCGTGCCTGAAGGTACACACAGGTTCACGCTCTTTGCTGGATGAAGGCCTGTGGCTTTTCCACAAGGACACCAACAGTCCCTAAGGCTCAGTCCCTCATGGGCTGTGCCTGAGTCAAGAGGTCTCCCAAGATAGGAAAGTCCTAGGGATTGATTAAGTCTCTGTGGGGACAAAGCTGTTTTGCCTGTATATCCCCCTTTTGAAAAATAGGCAAGCCTCAATATCCTCAGTTGGATCCTTCTGTTCTACCTCACTACATTTTACACCTCTGCACTTCTTCAACTTTAGATACTCTCCACCAAATTTAAGACCTGCACTCAAACACTGTCTCCATATTTTGAGCCCTTTTACTCAGAGGACTCACTGGACCGTACTTTGAAGCAAAACCTTCCCACAGTTGCCTCTTATTTAACCAAGGCAGATGCTGAACTGAGTCCAGATTTAGAAGTTTCCTAATGTGGCCCAAAGTCCTGATAAGCAAGTCTCACATTGTTTGGGACAGCCAACTTCATATTGCTTATGCAGACTGAAGTTGTGGGGAACTTGAGAAAGGCCCAACTCAGAGCTAGCAGAGGGGGAAAAAAAAAAAGTGACATTTTAAAATGTTTTTAGAAACGAAAAGGTATCAACAGGGCACAAACTATCTGCAATGCAGGCCACCACCTGCGATGCATGTGGCACGTGGCAGCTCAGGGACAGGATAGGCAGCGAAGCAGCAGGCAGGGCAGGAAACAAAGCAGAGGAACAGGAAGGAGCACAGGATGGAAAAGAGGAAGCAGAGCAGCAGATCAGGCAGACAAAGGGGAGCGGAAGGGCATTTGGGGCAGGTATGGGGCTAATTTGTGACACAGGTTGGCGCCCACTGTTACAGCCATTAGCCTAGAGCATCACTAATCCCATTCACTCGAGCGCTTCATGTTAGGGATGTATTTAAATCCAGGCTGGATTAACACATAGGCAAACTAGGCACATGCCACTGTCTCCATACTTTGAGACCTTTTATTTAAGCCCCGCACCCCCCACCGAAATGTGTTGGGCTCCTCACGGGTGGGTGGCAGCACCAGGGTGGGGAAAGGGGTTTCGATGGCTCGGGCCCACGAGTTCATTTGCCTAGGGCCCACTAAGGGGTTAATCTGGCCCTGCTTAAATAAATACACTGCTTAACTGAAGCCACCGTTTCCTTTACCGAGAAAGGTGCCAAGCTGCAACGCTTGGAAAGAAATCAGGGAGCAGAAATGAGGATGCAGAAATAGCTTTAGCTTTTTTTAATAGCATTTTTCATACCCAATGTATCCTGAAACGCATTTTACAGAGGGTGGGCAGGTGGGTGGGCATCCACATGAATTAGCAAAGGAGATATGCAAGAGCCCAACAGGGCAAGCCATCCCTTACACGGGCCAGAGGGCACCGTGCTTGAGTAAGCAAAGGTTTAAGTGAAGAAAGCTTGCTGGAAGAGACAAACAAATTGCAGTTTCCCAGTTTATGGCTTTTCAAAAGCTCCTGTGTGATTTAAAAACACAAGTCCCATGGAAAGCCAACGGGACTCTCACTCAAATCATCCTGGGTATTTCAAAAACCTCCCCCAGGTTTCTGCCCAGAGCATGAAATACAGGCTCTCTCCCCACACACAGCCCGTTAATTATTAACCATGCTTTAAAAGAGAAAAGGTTTGAAATAATCTCTCATCTAAAGATTCAAAAAGTTACAGAACGTTTAAAGAGAAGAGCTCACCCCAGAAGAAATGAAAGGGGGAGGAGGGGGAACAACAAGAAAAGCTAAAGGCAGAAGGGCATTAACATTTTAACCCAGTTGGCCAGGAAAATAAAAAAAAGTATGATCTCTAGGGTGAAAACATGGTTCAGCTTTTCAGTGGCAGCCTTATCCTTAGACAAACTGGATCCCGCCTGTGAAATGAAATGGTGGCAGAGGCGTTTTAAACATTGCAGAAACTATTAAAAATGGGTTACCTTGCGATCTTCCTTAAAGAGCTCGGCAGCGGTTGTGAAATGTGGGATGGAATTTTTACAGTGTGGGCACCCTGTTTGGCATGGGAAGAAAAAGAAAAAAAAAAGTAAAAATTCATTGTATTAAAAAAAAAAAAGAAAAAAAAAAAGATTAGGGAAAACTCAAAGATAAGCTTGCAGGTGAATCAGATAAAAATCAGCATTAAAAGGAATTACAGATGAGAGGTTCTCGCACCCTGAGCAGAGGGATACTAGCAGTCTGCAGTGCTGTCATCAGGAAGATGACTTAATCATGAGTTTGAGTCGCTTTGATCCCAATAAGATTTAATCGTCCGCTTAATTTCAGGCATGTGCTTAAGTGCTGTTCTGAACAAGGACCAAGACGCAGGGGTATCCTCTTTCATGCCTGTCACTTAAATAGCATTAGACAGCGAGCTACGTGCAAATTAATCCCTTTCCTACTATTGTATTTCCACACTCACGGTTCCTGCAGTTGCCTCGCAGATGGCCTGAGATTGCAAATGAGAGAAGGGGTGGTCGGGGTAGTTGTGAATGGGAGAAGTGATGGCCTCAAGGGTTGGAAACTGGAAGGGAAGCTCCCGGGACACCAGTCTCCCTCAATATTCAAATAGTTGAAAGCATTGGAGAACCACCTGCTTGAGCCACGCCTGACTTTGCAGTGGGGAGGAAGTCACTGTACCGGCCTTTTGCATGGGGAGAACTGAATTTGGAGCCGAGGTTACAATTGCCCATTTATCCATGCATTAAAGGGCAGTGCCTGGTTTGAAAGGATGGGCAGGGTTGGAAACCACAAACTTTACAAATACAGGGGGGTTAAGGGGCCAGCACTGAGGAGACCCGAGAAAACTTTGTGGGGAAGACTGACCTGTTTGTACCATTGTGGTCTTCAATCTAAGGGCCAGCTAGCCCCATACTTACATGGGCACTAAATTCACTCGAATAATTTAGAGGTGGGTGGGAAATCACAGCAAGAAAGTAAAGCCTACCTTCTTTATTACAGGCAACGCTCTGTTTTATGCTCTCTCGGGTCAGCAGCCATGTATATGACTAATCGGAGCTACTCTTCAAATATTTTGTTCTACATTAGATACACCCAAGCAAACATAAGTAACTAAAATATATACAGTGATTTTTTCTTCCCAACTGAATTTAGAGAGATTTTTTTTGCAAGCGAGTTGTCAAAGCTCTTCTTTTTCAGTTAGTACAAGGAAACTGGCCAACTTCTGTCAACCAAGTGTTGTTGCAACATAAAGGTGCAAAGTTAAACAGAGAAGTATTCCTGCCTCTGCCTTCAAATAATAAAGGGCAACATGTAGGCAATTGGATGCCTACAAGCGCACCATGCAGCTAATGTTACTCTTACTGTCATTCATCATTGTAAAATATTGGTTAATAAGCAGCAGTCTTCCTTCTTAGGCAGTACTGAGCAAATGCCCTAGCACCATGTTGAAAGGCGCTGCGTTACTGGAAGGGGCATGTCTTTCAGGTCTACAATACGTTAAACCAAGGTGCTGGTGTCAGAGATCACACAGTGCTTTTCATAAAGGAAGATTGGTAACCCAGAAATCTTTGGCCAAATTACAATTCCTGTAATTACCCTCTACTGTGGTACAAACTCTGCTTTCAAAATATAAAGACCATTCTTTCTTTAGAATGGGATTTTCAAAACACATATATATGCCTTATGCAGCCCAAATCCCATGGAAAGTCAGTAATAAGTAGCAAAAACCAAGGAAAGTAGCTTGCTGACTTGATATAAGTCACTCAGGCACTTTTAAAAATCCCATCCTTAGCGCCCTGAACTTATACGTGGCACAGGGCAGCTGCAGTCCAGGAGCAGTACAGCGTGCCTACTATCGTGGTACTTTCTTAAGTATTTCTGGTGTTAGTTTGAGGATGCAAGGCGCCTGCGTGGTCCACAGGTAAGGAACCCAGGATTCTGGGTTCGGTTCCCGGGTCTGTCACCAATCTGCGGTGCAACCAAGACAAGTCACGTTACCTCTCTGCCTCTTTTCCATCCCACCCTCTGCCAGACATTTCAAGCATAAGGTTTTCAGGGCTGGGCCTGTCTCCAAACAGACTTTGTACAACGTAAAACAGTGGCCTAGGCTCAGATAGGTCCATTGGTGCTACTGAAAGCCAATACAATGGGAGTTGGCACCAATGCCTGATGACTTTTCAGAAACAAAGAGGAGAATCAAGCACCCATGAGAGGTGTGCTCTCGCTCATCCAGATGACGCAGGTCACCTTGCGAGCACACTCAACTCTGTCCTTCTAACCCGACAAAGATCCCTGTCAGCAAACCCAGTGGTGAATGGGATGGGCAATCCTGGTCTGTCCGCAGGCTAGGTTTGGCCAGTGGTCCCAGCTGTACAGATGGGTGCAGGGGCAGCTTGGCCCTAACCCGTCCGCACGGCAGGAGGGAGAGGGCTTGATGCTACCCCAACCAAACCCTGCAGGTAGAGGGGAGGGACGTGGCCTTGCTCCAATCCAGCCATACACGGAGAAGGGACACGGCCCAGCCCCAACCCAGGCGCATGGGAGAATGGGGTTTGATTTTGATGCGTGGGGGGGGGGAGGGGGCTTGACACAGCCCTGAGCGGGGCAAGGGGGTGCAGCCCAGCGCCAACCTGGCCATACAGAGGGAAGGGGGCATGGCCCAGCTCTGACCTGCCAGGCAGGACTTGGCAACTAGGGAGGGTGGTTGTATTAACTGCCACTGCTTCCCCACCACCAAATTTTCTGACCTGTGGGTAGCCTCATGGGCAGGATGCCATGGCTCTGTGGGCTACATTTAGCCCATGGGCTGGCAGTTGAACACCCCTGAGCTAGCCTAAAGAAACTGTAATGGGGG